ACCCATAAAAAAATGTGTTTTTACATAGTTATGTTAAATTACCAGAGGGTCATATTCACCTGAATCCCACAGCTGGGGATGACAATCCAAGTAGATGGAATGAAAAAAAGACGGGGGCCATGTGACTCTGCTAAGATCGTCAGTGGCTCGTGTAAGGGATCTATCCACGACATTTCCGCGGTTCCTAAGGATTGCGATCTAAGCCTGCAGCTGTTTCCACATGAGCATTCTTGGTACTGAGGCATTTTTTTTTGGGAACCCAGCCGTGACCCTTTTTTGTTAGGTAATGTGCTAAATCCAAATTTTGAACAATCCCCAATATTATCATAGATGGTTGGCAAAAACCATCCCCAAATGCTTTACCACGAAAAACATGCCCCATTCTGGTTCGCTCCTGCCACATCCTAAGAAACTTGGAGGCCGTTCACGAGAGAAGAGCTGAAGACAAAGGCCAACAAGAATTACAACAAGAAGCAAAAGAAACCCAGGACTGCGGCGGTTTGGACACCTACTGCAAGGTGATTTCTGTGCCAGAGGCTGAAAAAAGCTGTTTTCAGAAACGATGAAACACGTGATGTGAGCCATTTTGCTGATGGAACAACAGGATCCACAAAAAATATGGCTAGACTTGAAATTTTGCTTGGATAGGGTTTCATGGCTTGAACTTTTGCTGGAATTGGGGCAATATTTCGACTTCCTTGCAAGGTAAAGTCAGCAAAAAACTGCCGAGACCCAGCTGTAGGAAAACCTTGGTGACGGGTAGTTTCATACGTTGATCGTTTGGTTTCTTTTGGATTTCATCCTATCCCCATGGGTTTGCGAAGTTACTAACCAGCTAAAATTACAGGGGGACCCTGTAATGATGACACGGCGCGGACACGGTGCTTCGATTCCTCGTAAAAATGGGTCAACATGTCGGAGACGATTCGATCTAGGAAATTGACCGTTTTTTAGAGGGAAAATGAAATGGTGATTGACCATCGTTTTTTTTTTGGCAGATCTTCAGACCCATGGGAGATGTAGGACATGGATGTGTAGGATACAAAAATCTGTTGAAACACAGGTCCCAAGACCTCGAATGTCAGGAACCGTGGTGGTGGGCATTGAGGTCGGGTGCGAATGCTGGGAACCTCAGGATGTGAGCCGAAAAATGGGGCCGAGAGTGGCTTGGTCCATCTTTTGAGCCGAAGATCTACCCCTGTTTTTTAGCGGTAAAAACGTAGGGATTCCATGACTTGGTTGACTTGGACCCCCAGCATATCTGGTTGACTTTGAATCCTCCAGCTGAAACACCGCAGGTTGGGGGAACGGACCCTTAGGGTCGCAACCAATGAGCGAAGCGCCGGTCGAAGATTCATGGCTCCATGGCAGGCGCGGGAAGTACCCTCTGGTAATGACTAACATCGCTATTGAAAATGGCCCAGTTGAAATAGTGGATTTACCCATTGAAAATGATGATTTTCCAGTTCGCTATGTTAAATTTCCAGAGGGTAAACCTTATGATTTTACTTTGGGCACAGGAAACATAGCTGGAAACTCCCGAAATCATCAATCATTGCCTGGAAATTCCATTGCACACTTAGACTACCAGTTAGACTACCTGCTATTCGTTGCTGGCAATTGCTGCGGCGGTATTCCCCATTTCCGGACAACCCCAAATCTATGATTTATATGTATTCATTAATTAGATCAAATCCAATTTTTGAGTATATTTGATGGTTAATCTTTATTTTTGATGATCATATCTCCATTTTTGATGGCTAAGTTAAATCTTCATTTTTGATGGTTAAATGTCAATTTTTGATTATTAAGTCTCCATTTTGAATGATCACAATTCAATTTTTGATGAGAACACGTTCATTTTTGATGAGAACAAACCCTCGTGAATTTGTGGAAGAGTCCCCAAAGATCCTCCAAAGATTGCAGAAAAACTTGACAGGTCTCTCGGAGACGCCAAGTCGCTGCACAAAAAGGCGTTGTTTTGTATCAGATGGTGACTCAACAGGATTTATCCAGCAGAAAACAAGCATTTTGTCGTAGGGAAGGCGATAGTCAAACATCAAATTCGGAGGTTGAGGTTGATTCAATGATTTGATGGTGAATTCCCCATGGTAGGATTCAATCATCCAAACTTGGGATTGCTTGGCAACATGTCAGCAACCAAATGGCACCATATTTCAGCCATCAAACGGAGGGATTTGTTCAGAAGCCAAATAGCATACTTACTTATCCACATTATCATATTATCCATATCCTTTCAGATACATGGATCATGGCTGAAACCATATGAAAAACCATAGTGTGGATAATATCTATCCATACTTATCCAAACTACATCAAACCACTATGTTTCGTGTTTGTGCGGAAAAACGCTATGAACCGCGACCGCAACTTTTCAGACCTGCTTTTTTTCAGTGCAGCTTTCAGTACGATCGTGTCACTCCCAGCTGGGACTGTTTCACGGGCGAAGTCTGCCGCGAAGTCGTAAGTGTAGCTTGAAAACCTATTGGGGCAGTTATGGGCAGATATATATATATATAATATATATATATAATTATATATATGAATTATATGGGGACTAAATGGATATAAATGGATGGAAATCTGAACAAAAAATCCGGGTTTCAACTGTTTCAACCATCAAACATCTGGGGATATATAGGGACATAAGTGATAAATGATGGGTGATGATGAGTGTGCGGGGTCTTACTAGCCAATATTGGGGATTCGAACATGATCGTTTTCACTGGAAATCCCGTTCTTCACCAACGAGGATAATGAGATGACGTTGAGGGTAACACTGCTCAATTTGCAGCTGCTGGTAGGAATCCAGTCGTGCCTTCCAGGATTTCATCTAGTTGATCCCCAACATCAAACAACACACCTCTCATGTGGGTTGCCCAAACAAATCGCTGCTTGTGGCCTCGTCGATGGCAGCGGCCGCCATGAAATTTCACCCTTGCAGCTCGAATTCGCTGGCGCAAGGACAACAAAATGGCTGCAGTTTTCCGGACAGAGATTGGTGGAGATTGGGGTGCCAATGGACACATGGCTGGTGTTTTTCGTATCTGAAATCATTATCCATTCTTTTTTGGGATCACATCGTTTCATCCACTTCATGCTCCATGAAAAAGTCACTATTTTGTTCCAAGGGCATGCGCAGCGAAGCCAAGACACCCGTTAAAACTTTGGCAGCGCGGCAACGGTTGGACTGCAGAAGATGAACGGATTTCGGCACATCCGAGATGTGGTCGACCTTGAAGATGTTGGAGTGTCCAGAAACTTGTTGGGGCGTATCATTTTCTTTGACCCGATAGAGTTTGGGGCATGACTGCTCTGGCGTCACTGTCTCAGCCAAGACAAAGTTCTTTGACCTGATAGAGTAGCGAGTTTTGTGAAGAAAGACAACAGATTGGGTTTTCATAGGTTGTTTGATTGGTTAACCCATAACATCCAATGTTAACCATAGGTTTTCAATTGTTTGATTGGTGTCGATGGTTAACATCCTCCCGCTCCGAATGACTCGAATGACTGGACCCAGCTGGAGAGTTTTCCTCCAAAGAGGTGGTGTTTCGAAGTGGGAAAACCCACCACTTTCTTGTGACAAAATAGCCTGGTTGATTGGTTAATGTAGGGACTTGTAGAACCTAAAAAATCTTGGGATCATGATAACCCATAGGATTGGAATTCAATTTTCCACAACATCGCAAACTTCGGGGAGTGCTGCTCCAACGGTGGTGCACCGCTGGGAATCATGGCGGAGAAACCCATCCTGGGGTGCATCGGTCAGGGGCCCCAGGATTTTGTTGCGCGGTGTCTGGTCGCGCGAGTGGGCTATACACGCTGGAAACAGATCTACACTGGGAAGGGTATGTTAAGTTCCGTCAGAGCAAGGCATCCTCTGAGAAACAAGCTGCGCATTCCATTTGTAGATGATTTACCTTCGGATACTCCATCACAAACAGTGACAGCCTGCATCGTCACTGATTTGCATAATTTTTCTAGGCTGGCATAGGGGAATAATTGTCAAAAAAAAGCAGCTATGAAAATACTTGCTTGATGGTCGCGTCCCCATGTCTGGGTTTGTTGCGTATGGTTGACCCATACCAAATAACCCCCCAATTGTGTCGTCTTTCACATTCCAACCAGGCCGATAGGATTTGCCAAAGTTGAAGACCCCCCGAACTACCAGTCAATCAGTCATCTTTGGTAAGAAATCCCATGGTTTGGCAAATCCCAAATTTAGAGAAACACCCACAAAGTACAAAAACTCTCCGATCGTCCCCGTTGGGTGAGCCATGTCTAAGCTAGGGAAATGTTCCGAGGGAGATAAAACCAGAAGCCATCACCAAAAATTGGGTACCCATCTGGTTTCCAATGGATCTTGAAATCTCCGATCCGTCCATGAAGGGTTTCATCAAGCCATCACCGCTTCCAGGCTGCGAATGTCACAATAAAAGGGGTCCTTGTGCAGGTCGGGACCGTGGGCTGCCGTAGCTCGTGGCGATTTATGATTCGAGTGCCGAGTCGAACTAACTGAATGGCCTGTGAATACCTTATAAAATCTGAAAAACAGATGATTTCCCCAGGTTTCACAGATATGGATAGATATGGTTGATCATGGCAACCATTGAATCCTGTGAATACGTCTCAATACAAAGAACACGCTGCAGCTACCCGGTGGATGTTGCAATTGGAAGAGTCACCACCGTTTTTCATCAACCGATCCTGGTGTTTTTTGCTGAAGCAATCACGTGGCCTTGTTCAAAGATCACAGCCATTGTGCAAATAGATACTGCAGTAGCATGCAGTAGCCATTGAGTTCTACGTGTTGATTCATGCGCCTTAGAAAGCAAAGAATCCAGGCCAGAAACGAACAAGTCAGCAAGCACAAGCGATCGAGCGCTTTCCCCAGACGTTGTGCCCGCAAAACAGAACCATGCAGAGTCAAAATAATCAGCCAAATCAGTTTGAAGGCCCGGTTGAGCCTTTTGTTTGCCATGCTCAATGTCAAAAGTCGGCATTCTGAATACAAGCGTTCAACTGCTGGTGTCATTGACTGGTTGAGTGCACAATCAAAGAGGACGGTGACAAAGACTAACGACTTGCTTGACATCGCCCAGCAAGTTGCATCAAATGCAGTGTCAATGCCGAGCAACATTTTGTCTCAATTGCAGGATTGTATTCGCATACGCCAAGAAGTCAATCAGCATCACAGACAGCGTGCAGCCAGCGAAACATGGCGGAATCAAACCCATGAGTATTTCATTGACGTGCTCAAAAAGGTTCGACGCATTTTTGTTGCCAAACAGAGTTCTGGTACGTCTGAGCCTCCCAAAGAGAGACCCCAAGCGAAGAAAGATTCAGAACATCACAACAAATTTGCTGATTTGGCGACAGATGATATTGATACAGAAGATGAGATTAAAGCTGACATACCGGAGAACAGTGAGACAACACCTGCCGACTATGCTGGACGGCCGGTGAGGCTCCATTCTTTGAGCAAAGCCGAGCTGAACGGATGTGTGGGATTTGTGAAGGGCGTCGCTGACGGCGGCCGTTGCGTTGTGTGCTGCAATGGCAAGGAGTTCGCAATATCACCTGAAAAACTCGAGCTGCTTAAGGAAGATGAGATGGAGGAGCTGCTTGGTAATGGTGTATCATTTCTTTCCTCATGTTTTCTCCTGGATGTTGAGGAGCTGTCGGAAGAAATCGCTGCGGCCTGGCAAGCTGTTGCAGCCGGAGAGAGCCATCTCCTTACAGCAACGGCGCTGACCAATGTGTGTGCCCAGCATGCCTTTTCATTGGCTCACGCTGCAGAGTTGCTCAATCCGGACTTAAACAGGCTAGAGAACTTTGTGGCAGCCGCCTACTTTCATGACATCGTGCAATGGGTGCAGTATGAATTATCTACCAGCTACAAAGAAGCACTTAGAACAGTCGCAGAGATCTTGTTTGGTGATACCAAAGAAACGAGGTTCACTTGGCAAGGCCCAAAGGGCGTTTTGTATGGCACAATCCTTGCACTGGAATTACATGGCATCAGCCCGGGCCTCATCGAGGTTGAAAGGGCAAGTCGAAACATCTTGCAGAAATGGCCAACGCTCAGCCAGAGTCAAGTCAGTTCCCTGATTCAAAATGCTGCTGAAAGTTGCATCACGCGTTTTTTCCGAGTGGAGGAATTGAGTCTGGGAATCTCTGATGTCAATGACTTCTTGACAGGAACAAACGGACTCATTCACACCAGTGTGTTTGTGTCGTGCCTCTCCAATGCAGGCATGATAGTGCCCCCCAAACGATGGAATTTTTTGAAGCCTAATTTTTTTGGTCCGCAGTGGGATGAAGCAAGCAGTCCAGCCACATCTACCCAGCAGTTGGTAAGCTATGCAGGCGCCACGCTTCCAGCATTGCTTACATACGCGAACAATGAGCTTCGAATCTCCCCCAAACAGCAACTTCAAGCACCAGATTTGAAGTTCGAAACCCTCATGCCTTTGTGGCATGTCTTGCAGACTGCAATGGCAACAGGTCATACGACCTTGGCGCTAGTTTTTACCATGCATGCGCTGCTTCTCTCAGTAGTCATGGTAAATGGTGACCGCAGATGTCAAAAGATTGGCGTGCGATGCCGTGCATGCTTGGGAAAGCTTGCGCAGCAGTTGACTCGTGACCAGCCTCAATATGATGAATATGAGGCCTCCAAGCAGAACATGTGGCTGGCAAAACTTTGGGTTGACGCTGCAAAGAAACGTTCAGAGGAAGCTTGCTGGGATGAGAAGGATCCTTGTCACAAGATAGGATGTTTGCAACGTGATCAAGCAATGCTGCAAAATCCCTGGGTCGCTGGGCAACAGCTGCTCGTTGCAAGTCTTGCAGTGAGCATTGGATTTGGAGCAGCATTGATGGATTGCAATGGGCAGTTCTTTAGATTTGAATGGATTTGCATGATTTTGTATGATTTGCTTGAAGACTTTCTTTGAGTTTGCATGAGTTTGTTAAAATTTTTGTTGCTAGATATTCCAGGTGGTTGCATGTTTTGGTTCCACTGGAGTACCAGATCCGAGGTTGCGTTTCATTCTTCACCTTTACAACGCGCTGCTCTGTGCAGAGGCGATCGAAACCATCCCTTTGTTGGAGGACCTGATGGATGCCTTCGCAACTTCCAAAGCCATTTGGCACGCAGGTAGACCTACCAGAGACTTTTTGCAAAGTTGGTACCTTTCCTTAGGAATGGCCGTCCAAAGTGATCGTTCCACCGGTCTGCGGCAACAACGAAAGTTGGTTCCAGTCGAACCAGAGAATATCAGCCAGGCATATCGCCGCGCAGCAGCTCAAGACTTTCAAGACTGCTCATCATTGCGTCAGGTGCTGGATGCTCAGATATGCTTAGATATCCTCAGGTGTGCTCACAGCATTTTGGGTTTTGGTAATCAGCATACTTGTGAAATCTTGTGAAATTCTGGTTTTCTAGGCCTGTGACGACACCATGGTTTTGCACAATTGTTTCTAACAAAGCCGTCACCCTTGGGTTCACCCCCTTGGGTTCACCTGGGGAGAAGAGCATGCACCGAATAAGTCGATGAAAGCTGCGAACTGTGGTCAGCCCATGTAAACCCCCCAAAAAAAGATGAAGCAAAAAAGGACAACAAAGGAAACTCAGAAAAAATCCAAAATGCCCACAGTTAAGAACTTGCTGTGAAAGATGTAGATACTGATTGCATTATATTAGTTGTTCTTTGTTGTCGAAGCCCCTTGAGGATTCGATTCGATGTTCCTTCTCTGAAAAACTGCTTGGTTACAATTTGATTGCCTTGGGGGCACATTTCTGGCGACTTCCTGGTGAGTTGGTGGACGCCATGGATTTGCATGACCAGGTCCTACATGAAATGGATGTGCAGAGCGGAGGCAAACAACAGGAACGGAAAGGAGGTAAAGCCGGTAAAGCGAAAAAGAAGTCGTTACCGGGCAAAGCTTATACTGATGCAGTTTATGGGGTGTTGTCTGGAAAGCTCTTTTTTGCTTGTGAGACGGTCGACAGCATCGAGTCAATGGCTGCAAAGCATGGATATTCACGACCGCCTGGCACTGGGCCAGTGACAGATTCTCGGGGTAGCAGGCAGCTGCAATTGGCTGCACAGGTTTTGACCACACACATTGTCGATCTGCCCCAAGGAACTTACACACTACCTCTCTGATGATCAGCCGCGCCGAATACCTTTCGAAACAATCAGGGGAGCAATCATGTGTGAGGCAGCGCTTGGAAAGGTTTGGAACGTGAGCCACCACTTGTTGGCCATCAATCATTGCCTGGAAATTTCATTGCCACTTTAGACTACCAGAGGGTACCAGCTGTTGCTATTTGCTACTGGCAAAATGCGCGTCTTTGGCTGAAACTAGGGTACCCTGTTCGATCTCATGCTTGATCATTTTCCACTTTAAACTGGCCATAGATTGGGACGGTCTGTCTACCCCATTTCCGGACAACCCCAAATCCATTATTAATTCATACGGCTTAAATCATCCAATTTTTGAATATTTTGGATCGTTGAATCTCCATTTTTGATGGTTAAATGCTGTTAAATTCAATCTCCATTTGGTGATACAGTGTAAAAAATGAGGATAAACCATCCGTTTTTGATGATAAAAAAATGATCAGAACATGTCCATTTTTGATGAGAGCAAACCCTCTTAGACTTTGTGGAACAATCCTTCAACGATCCTCCAAAGATCGCATCAACTTGTCAGGTCTCTTGGAGACGCCAAGTCGCTGCACAAAGCGCTTTTTTGTATCAGATGGTGACTCAACAGGATTTAACCAGCAGAAAACAAACATTTTGTCATAGAGAAGGCGATAGTAAGCCATCAAATCTGGAGGCTGAATGAAGTTGATTCAGTGATTCAACGACTCAACCATACTCAGCCGTCATCAACCATCAAAATTTCGGACTTTAGCAACCAAATTGCCGGATTTTCCCCATCAAACCGTGGGAATTTAACACAACAAATTGCATACTTATCCATATTGTCCATCCTTTAAGAACCAACATACCATATCTATCCATATCCGATCCCTATTTTTGTGCGGGTGCGCTATGAACCGGGACCGTTTTTTTCAGCTTGGCAAGACATGCATCTGGCAGTGCAACGAAGAGCTCGTCTCACTCCCAGCTGGGACTGGGACACCCAATTTAGCAGTTTCGAGAACACCATTTGGTTGATGAGATGCGGGGATTTACTATGATTTGCTCAATATATTTAGGATTAGAATAGGACATCATCCATTTTCACTCGGAATCTGTTTTTTCATAATTTTTAATCAACGAGTACAATGATGACGGGATTCATTCAGTTGATCCAAAACCAGTCGTTCCACCCGCCACAGCATCGAGTTATCGAGTTCGGCAGCCGCTTTCATGAAATTTCACCCATGCAGCTCCGGAATTCGCTGGCACAAGGACTAAAAAACACATCCCAGCTTTCCCGGGAGACTGGCGGAGATTGGACGATGTTTGAGGAATATGTGTATTGGTTGAAATTGGGGTAGCGATGGACACATGGCTGGTCATTTTTTTGTGACATCATCACCTTGTTCTTTTTTGGGATCACATTGTTTCATCCACTTCCAGCTCCACATTTTTAAAAACTCAATAATGATTTCATCATCTTGTTCATTGCTTGTCATCAAGATATATTTTTTCCAGGGGCATTCCTAGGCCAAGACATTTGTTAAACCTTCGGCAGCCCAAAGGTCCGACCCGATTGAATTCGATAGCCCAATTGTTACCCGCATGAAGAGAGAGAAAAATAGCTGGTTGGTGGTTTGGAACATGGCTTTTATGACTTTCCATATAGTGAAAATAATTCGGAATAATCATCCCAACTGACGAAGTCATATTTTTCGGAGGGGTAGGTATACCACCAACCAGATAGGGTCTTCATGGCTTGGGGTGTCAAAGGTACCATTCATCGACGATGAAATCAGAGGGACTTCAGTGGTCCAGTGCTGGACCCACCTGGATAGTCCTCTTTTTAGAGGCCACCGCTGAGCCATGAACAAAATACCTTGGTTGATGGGTTGGTGCAGGGACTTGTAGTCATTGTACCTAACTTATTGATACTTATTGGGGATAAAATATAACCCATAGGATTGGGATTCAATTTTCCACAAACATCGCCAACTTCGGGCAGTGCTGCTCCAACGCTTTTGTCCAAACTGAAGCTTTTGTGGACGCCAAACCAACGGACGGTTACAAAGACCGCTGGGAATCATGGCGGAGAAACCCACCGTGGGCTACATCGGTCAGGGGTCCCAGGAAAGTTGCGGGGTGGTCGCACAACTCGGCTACACAGGTCTACGCTGGGAAGGGTCTGTTGCAGCTATATATATATATATATAAGCTATTTTATAATATTATCTTGTAATATAATATAATGTTATGTTATGATATTATATTAAATTGGATCGATAAAAAAACAACCCCCCACTGTGGGATGGTCCATGATGGTCCCCATATATCCATCTGACCGCATGAAAACCTCAAACCAGGCATGTATACAGTATCCTATCTTATATGTATATAGTTGCATCTATGCAGGCATCCATACATCCACCCATCCATACATCCACCCATCCATACATAGATCCATGCATGCATACATGCATACATGCACACAACATGCATACAGCATGCATACAGCATGCATACAACGTGCATACACCATGCATACAACATGCACACACCATGCATACAACATGAATACAACATGCATACAACATGCACAACATGCATACATACATGCATACATACGTAATACATGCATACATACACGCATACATACATGCATACATGCATACATGCATACATCCATACAATTCCATACAACCATACATCCATCCATTTATTTATTCATCCATTTATTTATTCATCCATCCATCCATGCATGCATCCATCCATCCATCCATTTATCCATCCATCCATTCATCCATACAAACATACATACATACATACACATAGCAAACTTCAAAACGACAGAAACGTAACATCATATTAAAGCAGTGACAAACTATAGTGAAAAACTACTTTCCCTCTTTTGGGTTTTACTGTGTATGCACATAGTATAGACATATATAATCATATTATATATATATATATATTAAAAATATATTACATTGTATATATATATATTGTATATATATACATATTATAATTGTATTGTTATATTTTATTATATTTTATTATATTTTATTATATTATATTATATTATATTAGATTATATTATATTATGTTATATTATGCTATATTAGATTATACTAGATTATACTATATTATAGTATATTATAGTATAGTACTATTATATATGTATACATTATATAAATAGATTAACCCCATTATTATTATTATTGTTTTATTATTATTATTATATGATATGTATGTATATATATATATACATTGCAAATAAACACCCAAATAAGATAGCACAGTGTTTCCAGGATTATTTGCCTTATATTTCGGGGTTTCCTGTTTTTTTTTTCCGAAAAATCTATGGTCCAATGACTGGATGATTTGGGGTGCCCCCCATGACTTAGGAAACCTTCATATATACATATTATAGAGCACTACATTTTTTTTGAATACTAAGTGATATATATATATACTGGGATATCTAGTAATGTTTCATAGGGATATCGAAAACTATGAACATTTTGATTATCCTAAGTACTACAGATAGATTTCCATTATCACAAAAGATATATAACTATACACTTTTGACGCCGTAAAGTTTAAACGTTGCACTCCCGGAGGCATGGGCATCATGGGCTCCGCCATGGCGCGCCTTGGCATAATGAACCAAAGGACGACAGCTGTTTTGAACCAATGACAGTAGGGGAATATGATCAACCCAAAATACGTACACGATATGACCAACAAGAAAAATGGACAAGGTTTCCACGAAAGCAACTGCATGGCGAACAAACATGCAGACAACCAGCAAAATCAGGGTGTATCGTCAGGTGTTTAGAGATTCCATCCCAGATTTGGCCAAATGGATGGGGGTAACTCTCTCAACATGGCCAAACCATTCAGCTTAGCGAATGATCATACAATTTTTATCCGTATCCAGCAACAAAAAACATCGGAAGGTGACACATCAACTACTAGTACATGGATATCTTCTATCTCCATCTATATCCATGTTGGGTCTTGGGTCAACAATCATCAAGAAGCGATGAGTATTTAACTCACCAGAAATCATCAAGAACCTGTTGAACCTTTTTATTTCAATGATCATCAAGACGTATTTATCAAGGTCAAAAATCCATCTTCCCGCACCATGTTTGGACACTCAACCCTGGCCGCAGTGCCTTGGGTGCCTTTATGATCCCCTTTCGTCCAAGGGGCCGACTGATAGATGCAGGGTATGCCGTCACGGTGTGGTGACACTGGCGATGTTGGAGGGATATGTAGGGGGCATCCACCAGGATTCAGGGAAATGCGGAGACAGTCAAACTATGGTAGTTTTAATGGTACCCTCTGGTAATGACTAACATAGCTATTGAAAATGGCCATTTATAGTGGATTTTCCCATTACAAATGGTGATTTTGCATAGTTATGTTAGTTTACCAGAGGGTAGTGTATCATGGGATTCTAAGAGGATTTTATTGTTGATCGGTTACTTCTCCTCCGGTGTCACCAAACATGGCCGCTGTGAAATCCACGAACTAAATGGAGCTTTGAGAGGGAAAATCATCGAACTGTTGCTGGGGGATTTTCCAGCAGCAGAGTCGGGGTCACGGAGCTGATGACACTGGGGGGTAGTGGTCAGGTCGTCATAGGGGTGCCCAATTTTAGGAAACAACCAGGTAACCAGATGCTTCGACATCTCCCAGCTGGGGAACCTTTTCCATGCCCAACGTCATCGCCCAAAATGGTCGATCATCTGCCATGGGATTTCTTACGAACGATGACTGAGTGACTGGTGGTTTTTTGGGGGTCCTCAATTTTAGCAAACCCCTATGTCCAGCTTGTGAAATTTCACCAGCAAAAACACAAAATCAGCCAGGTTGGAATGTGAAACACAACACAATTTTGGGAGTTATTTGATATTGACCCATACCCATCCAACCAGACATGTGGAGGCAACTTTCAATCTATTCGGTGTGGGTGACCTTTACTGTTAACAATGTCCCAAATTTGCGAGGGCTGCAGCAGCACCCTCATTCTTGGTGCATCAGGTAGCCAAGTTGCTGTGTCATGATATACTTTTCACAGTTGCCTGTAACATTTCGATCAAAATACAAGAGATGAAACATTCGCAGAATTTTTCAGATGTATTGAGGCACATACCATCATACCAGTATCATTTGGATTGATTGATATGATGCAAGGATTTTGTTCTTTGGGGTGGTGCCAGACCAGGCGGCTTGGCGCTACTCCCCAGTAGCTGGGATGCTTAGCGGCTTCTATTTTTTTCTACCCCTCTAAGAACTGGAATTGAACCGCAGAAATGGGAAATAACGAACACTTAAATTTTTTTGCAGTTCACGAAGAACATTTTGCTGATGTCAAGCAACAACACCAGCAATTTGACCAAAAAAGGCTGGGCCACATCTCCTTGAGCCAAGAAAAGACATGTCTTTTCCAAGACAATCTCAGTAGTATCATTAGAACCACATCTCTCCATTGACTTGGCGATCTCGGAAGAGCTCGGGAGCCATAGTCAATCTCCAAGAGCAGAGCCAAATGACCCTATCAAGTTACATAGATATGCTGTTAACCCATAGTTCCCCGTTCAGAGAAAATCTATGGTGAAATTTCCATGGTTGTTCCGTGGTTTTACAACCCTAAAATTGTCAGCTTTTTGCCAGGAACAGGTCGAAGGAGAAATGCGAACCGCTGGAGAAGAAAGGGGCCAAGGTGGGGCAAAATTCCGCATTTTCCCATGGAAAAGCCCAACATGGGGTGGAAGTGGTGGAAGAATCTATTTTGGAGGGGTTTGCACTCCCCAAAATGGAGGTCTTACTCCAGCCAAAAATTTTAGGGACTTGTTGATATACCCTTGAGGACGAAACAATTCGAACAATTGCAAAGCCAGACTCTTGTTTAGTTTGATATTTGTATGTTCCATTGCCATGGTAGAAAAACCGGTGACTGCGCTTGGCAGTTAATCCCACCCCCCCCAATATAAAAAAGATACCATCAGGGCGGATGGGATTGCCCCCAGAATAATGTGCGGAGTTTTGATAACCACAGGCGACTGGTGAAGGACTAACGAACTCCATTTATAGAGGATTTTCCTTGGATTTTCCCAGCTAGAACCCTCCAGTTCTGGGATTTACCCAGCTTTGCCATTTTTGATGACCGGAGGGTAACTGATCAGTATTCAAAAAATACCACTAGAATCTAATTCAACTATATATATATAATTATATATATATATTATGGGCGGTTTAAACATGAAAAATGGTATGTATATGTATATATTATATTATATTATATTATATTATATTATTATATTATTATATTATTATATTATATTATATTATATTATATAATATATTATACATATATATATATATACATAGCATTTTTCATGATTAAACCGCCCAAATGACCGCTGTCGGAAAAGTTTTTATTTCTATCTCCAGGTGGCCGACAGCGCGCAAGACTTGGTGGAGACCTGCGATGTCGTCTTTTCGCCAGGGGCCCGAGGGCTGGCCGCTAACATTGAGTGGATGATGTGTGTAAAAATCGTGAGTGATGAAAAAAGGGATGATATAAAGGGATTCATGGTGATTCATTGGGATTATAGGGATTAATTTGTGGATTTATAGGGATGAGTTGAGTGATGAAAAAAGGGATGATTAATATAGGGATTAATAGTGATGCATAGTTATTCATAGCGTATAATAGGGATTAATAGTTATTAGTACGCACTGATTAGTTCTGATGACTAGTTCAACGAACTTAAGTGCAGAAATGGGGAATACAATTGGGTGATCGGGCTAAAATGAAATATTTGATGGGAGTTTCAGGAGCCCACTCTTTACAATGAGACATTCCACATGGTCATTTCCCGATTGGATCATTCCTAAGCTTGGTTGGTCAAACATGTCATTTTCTTGTACATTTTCAAATACCAATTTTGCTATCCAAAATCCGTTTTCTTGGACATCCGAAAGTATTAGCATCCCTTTTTTTCCAACTAAAGTTTAGGACGGCATTATCTTTCAAAACATGACAATTAATATTTGGGATGCCAATTGAAATATGCTTGGTATCGCTCCAAACAAACATGGGAAACCATGATTTAATACTGTGATTTCTCTTCGCTTTTCCGCAAAGAACAACTAAATTATTGTCTCCCAAGGATTTTCAGCACCATCTTCAAAGCATCTACTATCTATCTATCTAATCTATCTATCTATCTATCTATCTATATCTATATATATACATACACATATACACAAATATATTTGGAGTATTTTGGAGTTGAAATATCTACGTTTTCTCCAGGTTTTCTCCCAAGGTTTTCTCCTTTGAGGTGCACCTCGGACCCAGCGTCTGCGAGGGCGGTGGTCTTTGGAGAGAAGGGCGTGTTGGCAGGTCTGGGGACGCGACGTTTTGGGATATTTCCATGGAATATCTCTGGGATATTTTTCTAATGTATAGGGAAAATTTGGGGACAATGGATGCCTTCATTTTCTAAATATCCCTAATGTTTTGGTCTATGGGGAAAATGGATGAAAATTAGGGATATAAATAGAATTAGGGGCATATGAATCCAGTTTTTTTTTTTTTATGTAGATTTTAAAGATGGGAGATCTATGGAATATCACCAACACTATGGTGCGATATGACATTTTTGGGTTTGTCCAAGAATGGGGTATACCCGTTATACCCCCCAAACAAAGGGCAAATTCAGTGTGGAACATGATATTAATGAACACCACTGAATTTTACATGATTTTAACCAATCAACATGTTTTTTTTTTAAACTAGAATGATGTTGGTGGGATATTTTTAGATATGATGGGGTATACCCACAAGAAACCATGATTTCCTGCAGTTCTTATACTTAAAACCAATCCAGTATTTGAGATGTTGGGAGCCACCCTGATCACTGGCAATTAATGATCAGTCCAGAAATGAGTCCTGTGCAAATGTTGGATGCTCACTGAAATTTGATGGAACATGTTAATTGATGTTAATGGAAAGGTGATCGTGTTTTCAACCCAATGATTATGTGATGGTTGAAATCTAATCAACCCCTTTTCCTGGAAAATTGGTGTGGTAAAAGTTCTTGGCTTCTACCAGGCCGAGAAAACATTCATAGGATGAATCGACATCGGTTCTTCAAGTAGGCCCGAGCTGAATGACGGCCAGGAATCGCCAAAGGTAAGAGATACATCGACATGTCCACCGTGGACGAGGACCTAATCCCGTCCGTCTCTCTGATCTTAGTTGAAACGCCCTTATAGCTGGGTCCCAAGTATGTCTCTTTCTCCCCTTCCAAAGCATGGTTTCTGGGGAGTGTTTAGTGTGAACAGGTCGTATTATCGGGAGGATCTAGAACATAAATATGGTAATTTTTATAGTCATTCATATGGGCGTTTCTTAAAATTGGGGGACCCAAAAAAACAGCGGTTTCCCCAAGAGGTAGTAATTTTGGGTGATTCTGGGGCGCCCCATTGTAAGGAACCATTGACTTTAATAGTCTTGCTTCCAATCAGGTCTTCTGCCAACAAGATCCCCAGAACTGGTCCCACTTTTGCACAGGGTGGCTCAATCACTGCCCTTTTTAAATGACAAACATTTGTTGGGTCGTTCTTGTCCACGTCGTCTTAAAGGAGTGCGTCATCGAAATTGCCGAGCTCTGAGAAACTCACCCGCTGAGTGACAGGCATTTTCTAGCTTTCCGGACTTTCTGGAGAAGCATCCAAGAAACAACCCAGCTAGTTGAATTGTTGTTTTAACCATGCTAAAAAGGCTAAAACATGCTAAAACCATCTGTTTTGGTCTGACAAGTTAGGAGACCCCCAAAAAACCATTGGTGCCTCGGTGAACGATGCTTTCATTTGAATCATCATCTTTTCCCGAAAATCATAAAGTAAAATGGCCCTGGTCACATATCTCTGAGGTAACTGGAAGGCTACCAGGTTGTGCCCCCCAGTTTTAGGTTGGTTAATATCACGGACAGCTTCTGGGTGGTGCGCGCAACGGCGGCAGCAGTGCGGCACAGCATGAGGTTCATGTCCAACAGACTGCTTTGTACACATCCCAAAGGCCAACGGGAGAGTTTGCCCCCGGCCAGACTTCCATCGTATTTCACAAGCTGTGGGACTACGCCATAGAACAACCTTAAGATTGCGTCAGCACAGGGATGCCAGGACCCTGGCTGAAAGCCGAATCGGATAGGCACGGCGCTTGTCACACGCTCCCACAGGCCCGGTAACCAACAATCAGTTCGCGTAACTGTTGCCTAGTGCGCTAAAGTAGACAGGAAGGTCCAATAAAGATCCGACTGAGAGGACCAACCCAAATAAAAACTGAGAGAAACAGTGCTGAGCTTTGTTCCCCCTAGGCTGGGCAAAAACCACGACAAGTGCGGCCCATGGATTCTGCGCCAGCTCAAGCCCCCCGCAATCACACACTTTATTCTTCCCCACCCGCCCGCTGTCTCGATCTGAAGGTTGCGCTCCAAAATATTGTGGTTGCCTTGGCCATTCACACGGCACCTGGTCGGACATCAAACTACAAACTTGAAGATTTTAGCAGGCCACGTGCATCTGACTTGCAGGCCACTTTGTCCCACAAGTGCTTTCGAGGTTGAAACCTAGAGGATCATTCAGGGTAGCATCGATGCCAACGGGAATGTTGCACCTTCTGCTCAGCCTGGAAAAAATCATTTGCCAGGTGCCCAACAAGCAAGCCGGTAATCAAGGCATGCAAACCATCCTAAACACGACTAGAAATAGCCATGATTCCCAGACCAGGGGACGCATAGTAACAGCCAATGCCTTTCCGACGAAGGAGCCGCACGAGAAGGAAACAAAGCCATGGCGCAACGATCTCCCAAGCATCGGTTGTAAACGGCCCCGCGTACTGGAAAGACTGGGCCGAGGCTATAGGTTGTTGGTTTATAACTATAAACATTTATACACCTTTGTCTGTAGGTAGATATTGTTTGGGGCACCGGCTCGTAGGGCATATATCAACATGACATCTCCCCAGGCTGAAGCCATCACGGCGAGCGGCGGACGCTTCCTGGAGGTAGGTCTCAAACGTGACTGGCTTGGAAATTCCTAGTAAAATATGAGAAATCCACCGAAAATGTGGGAAGATGATATGGGAGAAAATAGTTTGATGGTTGGGAAATCATCGAACTAAATGGTGGGTTTCAAGTGCAACCATGGGGATTATTTGTGATTTGGTAAATTTATTTTGATCAAAAACGGGGATTTTTGGAATTTAATGGGGATATCTACCGGGTGAGAAACTATGGATATCCATATTGCCCACGAAATCCGTGAGCTAAGGAGCTATTGAGAGTTTCCCACATCCCAACCACATGATGCTTTCTTTTGTTGCGCAAAACAGAGGATTCGTTTAGCTTAGGGAATATATTTGGGATATAAATTGCTGGCACAAAGAAATTAACCTAAGATTCCAGGGAGACCGACTGGATGATGAAACTATGGTTTTAACCATGAGAGTTTTAGGAGGGGGACAACCGAAAATCAACGGGAATATCATGGAACATAATTGGGGAACCCTGGGTTGCGAACAACGTTTTTTCCCCACCTGCCAGGTGAGGGTCTCTAGATTTCAACAAAGGTGCAACGCCTTCCTCCTTCCTTCTTCCTCCCTCCCTCCTTGTGGAGTGAGCGCCGGACACCATATCACCAGCTCCAAATACTGTGGAGTGTGCTTGGACCCGAACACCATATCGCCAGCTCCGGATGGGATTGAAGCAAACCTGCTCAGCACTGGGTGTTGGATTATATTATATTTTTCCCAGGTGCATCAAGAAGGCGAAGCAGGAGTACATGGTGGTGAAGCCAATTGGCACCTTGCTACTTGGACTTGAGATGATAGAATGTCCGAACGTATGCCAGAAAGTATGTCAGATAGAGCGCCAGAAAGAATGTCAGAATATATGCCAGAAAGTATGTCCGAATAGAGTGCCAGAATAGATGCCAAAAAGATCCAAAAAGAATGTCAGAATATATGCCAGAGTATGTCAGAATAGATGCCGGAATTCCAGGTTGAATGCCAGAAAGAATGTCAGATAGAATGTCAGAGTATATGCCAGAAAGAATGTCAGAGTATATATGCCGCATATACTACCAGATGGTATGTCAGAAACGCTGTCAGACTAGTGTGTCACGGTGGGGATCACTCGATGTAAAGTATGTTTTCGATGAAAATTGGCTCATCGTATGAATCAATATAGCCAATATTATTGAGCAACCTATAGTTTTGGGACCCCAAAGTCAATATATCCACGACGAAACCAGGATTCCAGATGGTACTTCATATTGGAAAAATAGCATAACTGTATAACTAAGCTAACCGAGTGGATGGTAGATAAATGGTTTGATACATGCATCTCATATGGTAATATTATTTCCCGTTTTGATACTATTGTAACCCAACCACGCAACCAACCATATCTCTTTTGCTGGTATCTAAAATTGGCCATGTTTGATGGGAAAACCATCTATGGTTTCGGATTTTCCAGTGTTGGATGAGGGTATATAGATGAGATTACCAGAGCAATGCATCTAACGTTTTGTCATGATTTTCACTGTATATTTAGATGGCGATTTTTGGGTGTTAAATTTTATCATCCTGGGCGAACAACATTTCTGAACCAAACCATATTCTCACCTCTAAAGGACTATGATATCATCCCAATATCATCCCAATATCATCTAAAGGACATTAAAGGACCCAATATCATCCCAATAATGTAACCGTTGCGGGGAAACCATGGTTTTTTTTCGGTCGGCGCATAGATTTGGATCATCGATTCTGCTTGGATTGAACCATTTCCAAATAGATAATGTCTGGTAAACTAACATAACTATGGAAAATCACCACTTATAGTGGATTTTCCCATGAAAAATGGTGATTTTCCATAGTTATGTTAGTTTACCAGAGGGTAATGTCTGGGGAAAATATCAGAACTTCGAAACTCATACCTCACATTAAGGGGAATCGGGCCGGTGCTCACTTGAAATTGCCACACATTAAGGATTCCTGTGCTAATCTAGTACGAGAAGATGGTTTGCAGAAGTTCATAATTTTTCATCGATGTCGTTGTTGGTTTACAACGCATCCATGTCCTTTGTGTTTTCCATTGGGGTAATGCATGGTGCTGCAACATTTTTTTCCATTCCATTAACATTTTTTCCTATTGCAAAGTCCTTCGTCCCATTTAGGATGAATTTGGACAGCGGACCAGAACACCTGGTGCTGTTTATTACCAAAATGTTGAGGAACAGTCAGGAATTTGTCCCACACGCTCAGTTTTCGTTGGGCAAGTCACTTCTCTGCATGTTTGTTTTGTACTGCCTTCCTTTGGTGTATGTCTTCCGACTGCGTAGAACTGGAACTATTTTGAACCTATATGGGTCTCCCACAAAAAATAGAAAGTTCATCCAGCATGGGATTTTATGATTTCTGTCTATTTACCCCATAACTCCCAGGTTTCCAACTGTCTTATCAACCTTCGGGGTGCATCCCCATACATAATTAATGTAAATTCATAGATCATCATCCCATAAAATTCCTTTTCAATGGATCTGGTTAAATTATAACGACCTCACTGTTCTCCCTCACTGGAATCATAGTCAATAAGGGGAATTATCCCAAAATAACATTATTTCAGGTTAGTGAAATATTATAATTTGCCCAGATTAATGTAAATTCATAGATCATCATCCCATAAACTTCCTTTTCAATGGATTGGGAAACCATGGATTTTTGCATGAAAAATCTGGGGTTTCCGAAGGAACATTTCTAAAAAAATCAAGCCCTTGACCTGCAGGCACCTGTGAGCGGCTCCAAGGGCCCTGCGCTGAATGGTAACCTGGTGATTCAGAGGTTGGTGACAGCAGAAACCATAGGCTATTCACGTGGATTAATGGGATATATATATATATATGGGATATATATATAGTTCACCAACTATACAATCAAAAAATAAATTATATAGTATATGTAACAATGAGGTATATGTGTATATATATATACACATATTTATTCACTGTATTTATAATATGTATTTATTTGTTTATACCCATATGCCCATGAATCATGAACTGGGTAAATAGGGGATTAGGGTAAATTTTCAATTAACTGGGGATGGTCGTCAATGCATGAATAGGGCTGAATAAACTTATTTCTTATTTCCCAACAATTGTGGAATGACCATACATAATTGACCCTGACACACATGACTGCTGGCTGGTGATGTTCATTTCTTTCCCCCAATTTGGGAGATTGATTTCATGAGCCAATGGGAATGTGGCAAAATCACTCGATCTTGGAATTCTTTGGACGTTGTTGATGATGATCACGAAGTGACTTCTTTTTTTTGAAGAAACAGAAAGGATGGCGACGATGGCGGAAAAAAAATGATGTTTGCTTTGACTCGTCCAAGAAGGACACCAAAAAGCGATGGTTTCGCTTGGTAAAAGCTTACCCGAAACCAGAAAAATCTGCGCAGCATAGTCCAGTCTTTGACCTTTAGCCTAGTTACCCTCTGGGGGGTAGTTACCCTCTGGTAATCAACCGTGGCTGGAAAGTGGGAAATCATCACTGAATGAATCATCACACATGGGGAATTTCCCATTGCCACGTTTGATTACTAGAGCGTATACCCTCCGGTAAACACACAAAAAGCTATTGAACATGGCCATTGAAATAGTGGATTTTCCCATTAAAAATGGTGATTTTCCATAGTTATGTTAGTTTACCAGAGCGTATAACCGACTGGACCATCTATCGCGGCGTTTTTTTTCCCTGAGGTCAGTTGGTGATTCTGTCCGCCGGCGAGGAAGCATTACAAAAGGAGGCAGTTTTCGCCCCTAAAGACGCCGTGATTACCCTCTGGTGTCATCATGGCAATGGAACATCCCTTTCAATGGCCATTTCAGGAACCGATTGATTGGAGGTACCTACCATATATAAGGCCTACAAAAGGCCTATGTAAGGGGATATCCCCACAAAATATGGCCAGAAATATGGTACAGTACCTCCATTTTAGGATCCTGAAATTCCCATTGATGAATGGAGGTTTGAATGGACAGATCATCTATACATGGCGGATTGTCCAGAAAGCCATGGTTGATTGCCGGAGGTATGGTAACGTTACCTGGTGGCGGCCACCAGTCCTTTTTTAAGGTTCCATGATGGTTCCAACTGACTTCCCCTTCCAAGCAGGGACATTTCAAGATGGCTAGATCAAGTAATACTATCTATCACTATTATAGAAAAACGTTCTCACACACACACACTTATATATATAATTTACAAATAATAACGAAGGAAGTTTAGAAGTCAAACCTCCGACTTATGGACAGATGCAGCAACACTTCCCTTTCTTGACACTTGCCTTTCCTTAGGTTTCCCTGTCTTTATCCTTTATTTGGGCGCCCCTTTACTTCAGACTTCCTTTTCCTTGGACACCCAGAATGCTCTTAACAGGGAAACTTCATCCTCTGATCATTTGCTGCCACTGCCAGGGCCACGGAATTTCGGTTGGATTGATCCCATCATTCTTGGATTGGCTTGGCACAATCTGGCGATGAGAGAGAGAGAGAGAGACCCAGGACCCAGAGCCTCAGCCACCTTTCGGTCCATCAATTCGTTTTGCCATGCATGAATCACAACAACTCACCTCTCCTTTAGGTTTCCTATCGTTTGGAACTTCTGCCACCGCCTTGTGCGGTACGACGGGTATAAACGGAGGCTTCCAAAAATGGGGGTACCCCCAAATCATCCATGTTTTTTTTTTTCTTCGGATTTTCCATTAAAAACCATCCATTTTGGGGTACCCCCATTCTAGGAAACCTCCATATATACCCATACAGTATACACATAGGCGAATGCTATTCAACATTCCAACATATTCCAACCACAGAAGAAAGTTTCCTCCAAGCCGATCGGTCTGGCCATCCACTAGCTGCAGCGTATGTTGCCTTGAAATGTAACTTGGACCCCCCTCACTTTTTGGCCACTAAAGTATATCCTTTGGGTTTCATATTTTTTTTCGGGGATATATGACACATATATCCTTTATGGATATGACTGGTTGATGGTGGCTCCTCGACCCTTACTGACCCCTAATGTATGGGGGAACACCTTTGGGTTGGCAGTCAGGATTTCCATGATCTTTGGTTTCTGTTCCACCTGCCTTTTGTTCCCTCCCTCGTCTCTTAAGGAGAGTTAAAGTGACCCGCACATATCTCTAGGCGATTTTGCACAAAGGTTCAAAACAGAGGGCGAGTAATTTTGATAGCCGATTTCGGCACAGATGCAATTTTCCAGGTGGTGGACCGAGCGCAAGAAAACTTTGGATCAAACCCCAGACGAGCTTGAAACTCCATCATCATCATCATCATCACCACCACCATCATCACCATCATCATCATCATCATCATCTCTTAGAGATGAATTCGTCGACTTCATCACGGCAGTTGGGTCGCCTAACCAGCATTTATTATTGACTAATATGATCCTTGATTTTTCCCTGGAGGTCGTACGGTCGTACTTTGGTGACTTGGCTTCAAGTAAATCGCATTTTTCGCAGTTGCCAGGTGCAACCCATGTTGGACATCCTCGGGAAGAGAACATTTTTTTTGGGTGAGGCCGGGCACCACGTCTTGAAGAGAGTGCGGGATGATGCGATGTGAGAATGGGTCAAGAGTTAGGATATTTTGGTATATTTGGTGCGGTTGAACATCCAGCATCATCCAGTTTTTCTTTTTCTATTTGTCATATGTTTGATGTGAGCACCGGGGTACAAGTTACGCACGTGTTGACAACATTTTGTGGTGCTATCCTTTGTGGTCCGAAGCTGACCATGACCTCCAAATTTTTGAAAAACATCATGTTACCACAAGAAAAACCAATTTTACCCGCAAAAAACAATTTTGCATTTTTGAAGAATCATGGACTTCGCCGTGTGTGTCAGGTTATGCGAATCCGCGTTTCGGTTTTCGGTGTCGCTGGGTTTTCTGCTCAAAGAGTGCCATGTTCAGTTCGTGCCATGAACGTTTGCCATCCCCACATTTGGGTTGATAGGGATTAGCCAAAGTGATATTTGATAACAAATCCCCATGAAACATCATCGCACCATATTTCAAACAATTTATACTTACATACTGATATATTTGAACTCATATTAACAGACATAAAATGATATACATACACTTAATCATATGTAATATATATATATGATCATATACGAACATATATGAATATATATGTATAAATGTAACATCAACCACGAAAGTTTTGGGGCATTGCTTTCAGATGTATACTACGTGGCTTCAGGCAGAGATTTTCCAAGCGGTTTCCCATGCTTGGAGCGATCCCAAAGGGCCCCGAGATTTTTGGAGCTTTTTTGTGACTTAAGTGCCATGTCGCTACAGGAGGAAAATGAGGATTTGAGACAGGAGAAAATGCCGGAGCGGATTTTTTTGAAATCTTCTAAAGACATGATGATTTTGAGTTGCAGGAAGGACGGAAATATAGCCAAGGGCCAAGGGTCATGAGCAATGGTGAGAAACAAGTGTCTTTTTCCTTAGGGATTGTGGCTAATTATGCGAAAACATCAAACATAGGAACATCAACTTTCTACAATTTCGCAACGTAATTTTTGACCAACGGTGCCGAATTTTTCAATGGTTGAAACTCAAAATGGTTCCCTCAGGTCACTTCACAGATCCATGTATCGTAGCAAAATTCCAAAAGAAGATAGAAAAGTAAAATCCTTCCAAAAATAGTGATACCCTCTGGTAAACTAACATAGCTATTGAAAATGGCCATTTATAGTGGATTTTCCCATTAAAAATGGTGATTTTCCATAGCTATGTTAGTTTACCAGAGGGTACTATAAATGAAAATGCGCATGATTCCAGTACTCAACCGCTCAAAATCGCAGGAGTTGGAGCGTCTCAAGGCAGAGCTCTTGCGGATGGAGGCGAGATGACAGGGATCCATCTCAGGGACCCATTGGGGGTTTCCATAAATGAGGGTACCCCAATAGCTGGATGGTTTATTATACACACCATACCATACCATACCATACCATACCATACCATACCATACCATACCACAACATTCATACATCCATCCATCCATCCATCCGTACGTACGTATACGTACATACGTACGTACGTACATACGTAACTAGGTACACGCTTGATAGACGGCCGTGGCACGAAATGGGATTTTCAGCAAAAAACTCAATGTTTTTTGACGTTCCTCATTTTGCATTGTTCCAAACTACTGCGAAGCAGCACTTCATAGTTTTTTTTCCTCATTGTTTCAAAAGTTGTTTCAGCTCTTCTAAGAAGGCAATGGGGGTGATAGGCCCTAGACTTTGTCTAAGAAGTGCAAGACGACATGAAGTAGCGTAGCATCATATATGTGAGGAAGTGCAAGACGACATACAATAACTTAGCATCATATCTGTGAGGAAGTGCAAGACGACATACAGTAGCGTAGCATCATGTATGTGAGGAAATGCAAATGAACGTTATTACCCCACCCCACCCCACACAATAACGTAGCATCATATATGTGAGGAAGTGCAAATGAACGTTATTACCCCACCCCACCCCCACACAATAACGTAGCATCATATATGTGAGGAAGTGCAAATGAACGTTATTACCCCACCCCACCCCACCCCACCCCACCCCCACACAATAACATAGCATCCATATATGGAGGAAGTGCAAATGAACGTTATTACCCCACCCCACCCGACCCCACCCCACCCCAATGAGCAAAAAAGCAACAAAAGTACGCGGCCGTCTACCAAGCGTGTGCCAACTACATAACTACATAACTACATCACTACATCACTACATAGCTACATAACTGCATAACTGCATAACTACATACCTACATAGCTACATAGCTACATAGCTACATAGCTACATAGCTACATAACTACATAACTACACAACTACATAACTACATAAGTACATAAGTACATAAGTACATAACTACATACAGACAGACAGACAGACAGACAGACAGCCAGCCAGGCAGACAGACAGACAGACAGACAGGCATACATACAAAGTGATATCACTATAGCCACTATAGCAACAAGTCATAGAGAATGAACAGTGGGAAACCTGGACATATGAGGTAAATATCGTCAAAATCCTGAAAACACGTTTCTATCTTTTTTCTTGCTACGCTGTATAAAACCTATAAGCATGTTTAAATAGTGACTAATGGTGATTAATCAAGATCAATAGTGATTAACTATTGTTGATTGATACTGGCTGGCACTTGTTGTCGCACCATACCGTAGCTACGGTTGTTGTGGCCCATTTAATTAGATCGATGATTTACCCATGGTGAATTCTTGCGGCGATTTTAAATCACCAGAGTGCAATATATTAAGAAATATACATATTTGTTTAAATTAATTGTGATTAATAGTGATTAATTAATTGTGATTACCAGTGATTAATAGTAGTGATTTAATTGTGATTAGTAGTGATTGATGGTGATTGATAGTGATTAATATTGATTTGATAGTGAGTAGTAGTGACTGATAGTGATTAATTAGTGATTTAATAGTGATTGATAGTGATTGATAGTGGTTGATAGTAATTAATAGGGATTTAATAGTAATTAGTTCAGTGATTAATAGTGATTAATAGTGATGTGTAGGGGTTAAAACAGCCATAATTCCGGATGTTTTTTTTTTTTGTAACGACCTTGCGACGTCACGCGACATCATGGTGTTGCGACGGATTGGCATAATTCCATCCCCAACTTGTGGAACTCTTTAGCCCGGTGATTTATCATAATTTATCCAGATACTTTTATACTGTATAGATGCACACACGTTAAACACATGAAGAAAAACATAACATAATGCATGATGTATGTAAAAAAAAGGTGTTAGGTTCAATCTCCCTGCACAAAGCTGAGATTCTTTTTTTAAAATGTGTTTCATTTTTCCAACTATTGTTGGTTCACAAGCATTTTCCCATGATTTTCCATCGTCAAGGAGCTCCAGATGGACCGTGCGGACTCTTCTGCCTCGTTGCCGGCAGAGGGGAGTCGCAAGCATCGGGTGCTGCGCAATGCGCAGACCCAGCAGCTCGAGGAGCTCATGGAGCCTCGACCACCAGGATGGTGAGATGTCAGCGAAACAATCTAGGGATAGTATTGGGAGATATAGGGAGATTTATCATAGGGATATATGACATATGGCTAATATCATTGGCGATGATTTCAGCAACAAAGATGGGGGATCAGTGGATATTTATGCAGAAAATCCCCGAAAACCGTACGTTCACGACGGGATGGGAACGAACTGTGAATGGCTAATGATCAACGAAGGATTTCATATCAAGAAAACTCTGCATAGATTTGCTACACACAGAAGGCAGTTTTCAAGAACAAACATGGGACAAAAAGGTCGACCACGAAACAGTGTCAGCAAATATCGTGATCGCTGCAAAAGCAGGGGGTTCAAGCATTTCAACACAGGACCTTACCCAGCAGAACCATGCAATACATTATTATCATTATTTGCTGGGAAACACATGTGAAGAAATATCCTGCTCTGCTAGAGAGGACATATGGCAAAACACGGACGCTTGAAACAAATCACAGTTGTTTACCCTCTGGTAAACTAACATAGCTGTTGAAAATCACAATTTTTTTGTGGGTAAATCACTATAAATGGCCATGTTCAATAGCTATGTTAAATTACCAGAGGGTAAATGTATTTTGCAGCAAAATGGGAGCTTAAGAACCTTGGACAAAAAGAGAGATGGTTCACCAAATGTGGATTCATCGGAGTCGAAGAAATTTGGAGCCATGACATGGGGCTTGAGATGCCTACAAGGATGGTGGTTGATACCCCTATGTTTGAAGCCTAGACGGCTTGGTGCAATGTTGGATCATGTTGGATCCCTGCTGATGAAAATCATGGGCTACTCCCCTCATCAACTCCGAGCCCCTGGGTTAAAACTTGTTCAACAAATTAGACTTAGAACTAGACTTAGACAACACGACACATCACGAATATCAGCTTACCCTCCGGTAAATTAACAGTTCGACCCTGGCAGATTGATAGGGGTTGGAAGACTAGTGAAACCATTAAAAATGGGTGATTTTCAGGGTCCAACTGTCAATTTACCAGAGGGTCAACATCTAAAAATACTAAAAATAGTAGCTGTTTATGTTGTTTATGGTGTCCAACATATTTCCCATTGATAAAACCAAGGTGGAAAACGGTCACATCTCGGAGCAGCTGCAGTCGCTGGAAGATGAAAATGCCAATTTGAAGCGACAAGTCGAGCTGCAGAAAGCCGCTTGTTGAAGCGAGAAAAGACGAAAAGCGGAACTTTTGGGCACGTGTGTTTCCAGGATGTTATACATATGTACCCTCTGGTAAACGTTAGCAAAAAACTATGGAACATCACCATGCTATTAATGGGTAAATCCACTACTATACAATAAATGGCCATTTTCAATAGCTATGTTAGTCATTACCAGAGGGTATTTTACTATTTTTTTCCAGATTTCCAACTCTTCGATCGTTGCTGACGGCGTTGCTTAATGGAGTTTTTTTTTGGAAAAACCAGATGCAGTGGTGCTTGAGAGAAATGTGACTTGCTACACACATGGACTTAGACCATATGCGATACCCTGACAGAATGAACAGGATCCAGTACTAAACCAGGGCTTTTTGTGGGCTGTTTATTGGTGCTGGGCTAGGGGGAAGGGGTTGTTTTGCCAGGGTCTCTATATCTACCCTCTTTTTGGGAGGGTGAATATCACTTTTGGTAGGTCAACAGTGGTTCATTCCCCCAACAATGTGATCTTTATTTGGGAAACATGAGGATGTTGTGGTATGCAGCAGACATCACTGATATCTATACAACCAACTGTTGATGCTAAACTCCTCACTCTGGGGATGATGTGAGGCGAGACTCTAGAAGAATCCTGAGACCCCAGAAAGATAAACAATACCTCCCAGAAACCCTTTTAGTGACGGTTTACTTGATGTTCGGTTGTTGACCAAAAATAACCAGACCACTGGATTTTGACCCAGACTTGGGGCAGTTGAGGTTATTTTATGTTATTTTGAGAACTGAGAAATCATCATCACAAATTAGGACACACACACACATAAGCACAATAATTATGGCCAGATACTCGCTCAAACTGTAAGTGCACCCCCAAGAAGAATCGGATGTTTCCATAATTTTTCAGGGCTTACAGTATATCCAAGCTCTACTTTGCCATGCTTATACCGCATACCCATAACAACAACCCCAACTGCAGCCCCAAGTATATACCCAAATCCTTGCTTTTGCCAATGGCGCCAATAGCGACCCCTCCGCTTTTGCAAATGTTCATTCCTGTCTCAGCTTCTTGGGACTTATCACGCATTTATTGTATTTGTGTGCCGTGCATTTGTACTTGATGTCTTGTTGCACATGGGCTGGGGCGGGTGGGGTGTGGCGTAATCCCGTTCGTGTTTGATTGTGTTCCAAGAATTTCTCTTGCACTTGCACACCGGCTAGATGCCACGTTGCAACAACATATCTTGTACTTGCACATTTACTTGATGCTTACGATGTAACAACTCCTCTTTCACTTGCATACCAGCTTGATGCTTCATTGCAAGAACTTCTTTTGCGTTTGCACCGCTTGAACACTTATATACTTGATGCTACGCTGTAAGAACTTCTCTTGCACTTGCACACCGATGTGGTGCTACGTTGCAACAACATATTATGCACTTGCACACCGACTTGCTGCTACGTTGTAACAACTTCTCTTGCACTTGCACACCGACTTGCTGCTACGTTGTAACAACTTCTCTTGCACTTGCATACCGGCTAGATGCTACGTTGCAAGAACTTCTCTTGCACTTGCATACCGGCTAGATTTTACGTTGCAAGAACTTCTTTTGCATTTGCACACTTGCTTGCACATTCTTTGTGGACCTTGCTAGGAAGTTTAACAAAAAATGCGACTGAATACAGCAGACTTCATGTTACAGAAGGTCAAAATACATTGGAAAAAAACAATATGAAACAGCAACATGGCAAATTTGCTGTCGAAGTTACACTGCAAAGCATGGTATGTCGTTAAGGCCTCGAAAAAAGACGTGGCATTTCTCGTCAGTGTCTCAGGAAGAGTTGAAAGCCATGGAAGCAACGGACAAGACCAAAGTGATCGAAGACGAGCCGGGCAAAAAGAAGAGCAAACTTCATTTGTTGAAGGACAAGGTGCGACTTGAAGAAACTCCCCACTGGTGGTTTCAAACATGTTTTGTTTTCCATAATATATGGGATATTTTTTTCCCATTGACTTTCATATTTTTCAAGATGGTTCTTGCACCACCAACCAGCCCATGATTTGCCGTTTCAGGGACCTAAATGAGAGGTACATAGGTACATTGTCATACATTGTCATACATAAGGCCTAATGGCTATGTAGGGGGGACATCCTGAAATTCCCACTGATTGTTGGGTAACTCACAGTTTTCCAGCTTAGCTCTGTTTTTGTTTGGGTTAAACTGAGTTGAACTGGGTTGGTTCATACTTCATTGGGTTGGTTTCACGGGAAAAATTACAATCTGGGTATTTAACATAGCCATGGAAAATAAAAAATTTTAATAGGTAAACCATCTATAAATGGGACATGTTCCATATTTTCCATGGCTATGTTAGTCATAACCAGATGGTATAGGAAACCATAGACTGACCAGCCATCCATAGGGCTTCAATGGAACAGATCCCTGAAACCAATTCCATCCGTTTTTTAACGAACCGATACCGTGTGTAAAGTGGTCCATAAAAATGCTTTCTTAGCTTCAAATAGCTTAAAAACATTTAAAAACCCATGTAAATTAGTTAAATGATCCCTAAAATCATCTAAAATCCAATGGGTTTATCTAGTTTATCTCAGAATTTCCCCATGAAAACCTACGCCTTCCTGGGTATCCCTCGGTTGGTTTTGGCATCCCCTTGAAATGGTAAGTGTATTATATATATATATATTATAATATAATATAATATAATATAATATAATATAATACTGTATTTTATATTAGATTATGCTATATATTATATATATTATCGAAGGAAGTTTAGAAGTCAAACTTCCGACAATATGGAGAGATGAAAAGCAGAGCAAGGCAGAGGCAGAGAGAAGAGGAAGATTAGAAGAGAGAAGATCAGAAGAGAAAGAGTAAGAAGACAGAAGATACAGATGCGCGAAAAGGTAGGGAAGTCGCGAAACACTGTGTTTTTCCAATGATTTGTGGCTCCGGAGGGTCGAAAAGTAGGCTCGCTAAAGCGGCGGGTGCGGAGCCAGCTGGCCACAGGAGCGATGAAAAATTGCACGCCGTTGTGGCGCGAAGCACATTTCGAAGTCAAAAGTGTTAAAAACTGGCGGTCTCGGACCACTTTTGTCGAAAAAGTGCACGCCGTTGTGGCGCGAAGCACATTTCGAAGTCAAAATGTTAAAAACACCAGGTGTTCGGACCACTTTTGGAAGTTGAGATGTCGAAAAAGTGCACGCCGTTGTGGCGCGAAGCACATTTCGAAGTCAAAAGTGTAAAAAACTGACGGTCTCAGACCACTTTTCACTTTTGGAAGTTGAGATGTCGAAAAAGTGCACGCCGTTGTGGCGCGAAGCACATGTCCAAGTCAAAATGTACAAATCACCACATGTTCGCGCCACTTTTGGAGGTTCGGATGTTGAAAAAGCGCACGCCGTTGAGGCGCGAAGCACATTTCGAAGTAAAAATGTTCAAAACACTAGGGGTTTGGACCACTTTTGGAGGTTCAGATGTCGCTTCCCTTCGCTTCACTACAATAGACGACATTACACTACACTACACTCCACTACACTACACTACATTACACTACACTCCACAACACTACAACTACAACAACGCAACTACACTCCACTACACTCCCCTACACTAAATTACACTACACTACACTACACTCCACTACACTAAATTACACTAAACTACACTACATTACACTACACTACAACTACAACTACAACTACACAACTACACTCCACTACACTCCATTACACTCCACTGCACTAAATTACACTACACCACACTACATTACACTACACTACACTACACTCCACTACAACTACAACTGCACAACTACACTCCACTACACTCCACTACACTCCATTACACTCCACTACACGAAATTCCACTACACTACATTACACACCACTACACTCCACTACACTCCACTCCACTCCACTACACTAAATTACACTAAACTACACTACATTACACTACACTACACTCCACTACAACTACAACTACACAACTACACTCCACTACACTCCACTACACTCCACTACACTCCATTACACTACACTACACTACATTACACTACACTACACTACATTCCACTACACTCCACTACACTACACTAGATTACACTACACT